TCGGCATCTGCATCGTCTTGCTTGCCATTGTGCTCTGTGTCTTTGAGTCTTTGTATGATAAAGAAAAATGAAAATATGAAATTGAATACACAACGAACCTCCAGCCGCGCGTCAGGCTTGGCACACCCGAAACCCGAAAACCTAATTAAGCCCTAAACTTGACCATCCAGGATTCGAGGACTGACGGTTGCTACAAAACCCTGAAGCATTAGTTTCCTAAACCCTAAAACCCTAAACCCTAAAACCCTAAACCCTAAACCCTAAAGCTAAGGCCTCTCACTGGGAGCTGGATCGGGGGACAGACCTTCCGCCTCGCCGCGCGCCTGGCAGAAGACATCATCAATCAGGACTACAGAGACGGGGAGCGTTTAGGGTTGGTGGTTTAGGGATATCTAGGCTGTTAGAGATTTTGCATTAATGTGTAGGCTTTGACCCTGAGTAGCTGATCAGATCAATCAGATCTCATGAGGAAGATTGTTCCCTGGCATTCTAATTATTATGGCTCCTCATGTAATTCCGAAGCCCGAAGCCGCTTGCCGAGGCGCTGAGCCGTTCCCTTGTTGATTACCCTTGCTTTTCCTGTTGTTAGAGTATCCGAGCCACAGAGCAGGTCAACCCACCAAATCACGCTATAAGTGCTGGTCTAGGTGTGGTGCATAACCAGGAGCCCAATTTCGTCAAAGGTACTAGCAGGTTCAAGTTCCAAGATGAGGGTTTAGGGTCCTTAAGGGCATGAGCAGAAAGCCCTGGACTAGAACCGAACCTCACAACCTCAAGTCAAAGCACACACCCTAAACCCACAAGTAAAACCCTGAAGCCTTATACTCTTTTAGGAACCCGTTTGGAACCCTGTGAACCGAACCCTGAGCCGGCTTAGTCTCTAAATCTTGCACTGGGTTGCCGTTAAGGAACACGGTTTAGGGACGAGGGCTGAGGAGTTAGGGGATATACGGTAAGTCAAATAGTAGGGTTTACTTATTGTAGTGGCATAATTTAAGGTACCCAACAGCAACGCAGTGAAGGACCAGCTGATTCTTCCGGGCTATCAGATAAAGCACCACTTCATTGATGACCAATGCGATCCGGGCACTGCGCATCTGCCATGCTTACTGGCTTCGGGCTATGAGTCTGGAAAGTTTAGAGCTAAGGGTTTAGGCTGATGGGCTTAAGGGTTTTGGGGTTTAGAGTTCACTGTTTAGGGTGTAGGGTATACGGTTTAAGGCTTGAGGTTCATGGTCATGTTGTCGGGGTGTAAGTAGACACTTCAGACATCGAAGAGCGCACCTTGCAAGTGTAACAGCAGCCGCGCTGAGAATCACTGTCGTCGAAATCGTAGTGAAAAGAGTACCAACACAATCAACCACTTAAGTCTCAAATCCTAAACCCTAATACAGAGGTAGGGGATGAGTTTGAATTGAAGATTTGCCATAAAGCCTCCCGTACTGGTAGCATCTAAACCGCTCGGAGGAGTCAATGTCCAACACTGTAAGCACTGTAAGCCAGCCGGAAATGGCCCAAACATAGAGCATATTTCCCTAATCCCTGCGTTCTGAACCCAAGCCCGCTGATGAAGCGATCGTATGGCGATGCCAAGATAAGCTTCAGGGCCGAGAAACGGGCAGCCCCGCTCCTGTCCGGAGTCCGGCCCCATTAGCTTGAACATTGGGCCAATGATGAAGAGCAATATGGGGTCGGAGTCCTAGAGTCATAATATCCCGGAATCCCATTACAGTCCCTACACAACTATGGCTTTCCCCAAGTCTAGAGTCCGATTCTGATTGTTAGGGCCCCTCTTGTACCCATCCCGTTGAATGACGATCTTTGGGCTCAGGGGTCAGGGTTTCGGATTTGGGTTTGGATGGATGGGGTTTAAGAAGATTAGGGTCGCTTGTGGGGGTCTGTTTATGGGGGTTTTCCGCAAATAGGGGGCCCTAATATGGCACCCTAAATAGTAGGATCCTTATTATCAGGACCCCAAAGTAGGGTACCCGAATTTTCGGAAAGTCCCGTATATGATGGGGCTGTTTGGGTTCCGTGTTTGCTCGGGCCCAGCGTCCCAGATGAGATCAAAACACCCAGGCTCTTAGTCCAACCACAGAAAACCCTAAACGCGAATCTTTAATAGCTTTAGGGTCGGGGGCTTTAGGATTCACACCCCCCCGAGGCTCCCTTTACAAAGCAAAATACCAGGCCTCTGATGTAATCGTCTCGGCTATGGCAGCAGCTCGACAGCAAGAATCCGTCAACCACTTAGGGTTTAGGGTTTAGGGTATTTTAGGGTTTAGGGTTTAGGGTTTAGTGTGGAGGGCGTACGGCTCTTCCACCTAGAGCGTCATACCCTTCCCCTTGTTCAGGGCACCTGGTTTTGTGGCTATGATCTGCTTTATAATAGATGTAGGTACCAACAAGGGGCCGTTTAGGATACGACCTATAGGTGGAAAGCAGGGTATTTGATTTCAGGCCTGTGCCTTCTCTTTGACTTCAGAGCTCACCATCTAGGGCTTCGGGGCTTTCGGGTTGGAGGTTTTGGGTTTTAGGCTTAGGGTTTTGGGTTTTGGGTTGTAAATTAGGGTCACAGGTCTCATCAGTGCCTTCCAGGCTTGACCTAGAAGTGTGAAAATGTTCTAACAGTTTTCTTAGAGGGCTCATTTCGAGACTGTATACTCATATACCCCAACGGAACCTGACAGTCAGAATCCGAATAATGAGAAACATTTCCCTTATAGTCGCCCCATGTGCCTGTATAGTCTTATACGACAATACCCTAAACCCCAAATCCTCCTTTGATTCTTCCTGGGTTGTTCGTTCAAAACACACTGTATTTTGAAAGGAGTTTCTGTCCCTGCGTGTGTTGAGGAAGCCAGTTAGAGAAAGAGAGAGAGAGGGATCTCTACAACTAGTGTTGCTTTCGCCCTATAGTCCTATAGCATCCGTACTATCATGTACACCGAACCCCAAAAAAACCTTGAAAGAAGCCCCCAATCCCTACGCCCCACGCCCCTAAACCCTGAACCGCTAAGCACCTAGAGCCCTAAAAACTATATCCCTAAGGCTCTATGTAACTATGTACTTATATTATAACCTATAGTACTGACATTGTTGGGCCTCAAAAGTACCGTTTACGGGAACCGCTTCGAATGCCTAAGTGTATATACCACGTAGGGACATGGAGCCTTAGGGCATAATAGCAACAACCTTAGTCCTTTGCGGTTCCCAATATATTTTCCCAAAAATTCATGGTTTAAGGATGAGAAAAGTCAAGCCCGGTTTGGTCTGGTTTCTTTCAAGTCTTCAGTAAATTCAAGGGAACTGAACTGGCATTCTACCTTTTTGATCCTCTCACCCCAAACGAATTATGAAGGCCCACGAGATGAGGGACACCCAGAGAACCCAATACCCCTTAGCTAAGGAAAATACCTTAAATCACCCCTATAATTTCAGGTATATTCCTTAATTAAGGGGTATTGGGTTCTCTGGGCATTAGTATGAAGCCCTACCCAGGAGAAGGGGAACTCCTACATTGCAGTGGCGGGCATGGGTTGTGACGAGGCGGTTCCGAAATGTTGATTTTAGGCTTGGGGGCTTTTGGGCTTGTAGGGTTTACCTAGACCCCGCAACTACCCTCTATTACACCCCAAATACCTTATGTTGAAGACCATAACGGCTCTATTAAAGTCCACTTTGGGGGTCCCGGTAGGGTTCAGGGTGTTGTAGGGCGTTGGCTTGGGAATTCAGCAGTGTAGATGCGGATTCTTCAGACTATGATGAAGAAAGCCCTCGATCCCAAAAAGGTACCCCAACATGGTCTTTTTGAGTTCATGATGGCCCATGGTGTGCAAGAGTTGGATTGCCTTTTCAGGCGAGGCGCAAGAACTAGTTGTAACCTCGCGTCAGTCTGAGGGTGTTCAGAATCGAGTTGAGGAGTCGAGGGTTTTGAGAGTTGCGACGGCGTTCGTAGTTAGTGAGTAGTTACTCAGGGGCCAGCTTAGGCAGCTATATGCGCACGCGTACGCCGCGGACAGACGTACTATTTTGGAGCTTTTCATGGTTCGCCCAAAACTTCTGATTTGCGAGTTCAACACTACTACTTTTAACATCATGTTCATGACGGCGCGCTATTTCAAAAGGTCTTTAGTAACGTGATACAGGATGGCAGATAACTGTGTTTCCTCGAGCTACCCAGGTAGTAGTAAGTTTAAGTTGCATTGGACAAACAACAACTCACACTCGTCGCCCCAACCCTCAGAACACACCCGCCCTTGAAGCGCTGAAATCAACCCGACGGACACCACTTTGTCTTCTCGACGGACACGAAGACGATCTTGCTGGAGCAGGTGCCTCCCGCCCCCCATTGCACTTTGCTCATGGCTTAGAGTTGCACATGTTCTTGTTGCACGCATTCATGCTTGAAGCATTTCTGCATGGAGCAGGGCATGACCGATTGCCGCAAATTTGGATCAGAATGAGCCTGCTACATGACCTGTCACAATGACACGCACACACACATGCCAACGTGGCACTACAGCAGCAGCAATCACTGGGTTTTGCAGACATGTGAGAATTTGAAGCTGGGTTGTTAGACCTTATTCCTACGAAGGGATGCCCCTTTGCTCATGAAGATTGGGGTTTGGTTCAATCTTCGCCGGCTCCCCGGATGATCGGAACCTTCCGCAAAACGGAAGCGAATTTGGTTTTATCTTGCATTCAGTCGGACCTGCGCCATCGCATGGGTCGAACACGCAATTCCGTATCGACCACAGGAACACCAATCGCTACCATTTCGTGCGATGAGTTGGAGGATGGGTCAAGATGGATGATATATTGGGAATGGATGTTCTTTGGGCACATGACTCTCGAAAGATCGATGACCCTCTTGATCCACGTGATGAACCAAGGCGCCAAAGACGACTGAATGTACTCAACTTTTGTTCCAAGGAAGCCATCTCAACGCTTGTAAGCCCAACAGTGCGAAGATCAGACTTCAATTCTTGGGTGTCAAGGTTATGGAACCACCCATTGGCGATGAAGCAGTTGCAGAGAATCAGCCATTCTCCGACAGCATGTCACCCGTGATGTCCATCTTCTCGAAGCAACGACAACTGGATTCGAGCATGGGCGATCCGTGCAACCAGCAGTAGTTCGACTTCGAACGGCTCCGACAAGGTGCATGCGCAGATCGACCCTGACAAGTTTGCAATTAATTCTTCAGTGTCGCTGGTAGACACCATCAAGGGATCCTACCGTGCCACGGACTACCACAATCTGCGGTCCATCGTCGAGAATGACATTCTGCCAGGAACAGAAATCGACGACAGCTCCTCAGGAAGGCTTCACTGCCATTTTGGCGTAGGTGCTCCCTGGGACAATCGCAACCAGATCACGAAGTACAGAGTATCTGGAAGTAGGTCCACGCCCTTGGTTCTCTACATTCCAACACCAGATCTCGTTCGGCTTGAAGGCAAGCTGACAGAAAGCAGCATGGTGTTTGTCAGTCGTCAATTCCGTTCAAGTTTGTCAAGGATGTTTGGCTTTGCAGTCCCGAGCCTAACCACCACTATGCCTTCGAGACTATCGAAAAGGTTCTAGACTACGAACTTGAGGACGATGTGGCCATGACTTATGAACCATCTCCTATATCAACTCGTTTTGGTGCAGAACGAAATCCTCGAAAACTCATGATTGTCCCATGTGAACTCCCGAGTGGACCTCATGATGCTGCAAAAGAGCACTACCTGAGACTCTTCGCGCAGCACGATGATTATCGTCCTGGGGATTCTCGCAGGCTATTGCTTGTCAAGAAAGTCATTGGTTTGCGATCAAGAACATGCGACCTGAACAAGAACCTCGCAACTCCAGGAATGCGGTGATGAGGACTAGACTTTGTCCATCTTGCCGTGAAATGGTGCCAGCTTGTTTCGCTCGATGCGCCAGGTGCTTCTCCGTGTTCAAGTCGTGTGGCAAGTTTCAGAGCACAGCTTCTCGACGGAAATCTCCTTTGGAGGTCCCAACAGAAGAAATATCTAATGCCATGGAGGAAGCCACCGCTGCAAGGTCTTCACTGGTCAGCATTCATGACGACGAAGATGATGATGCTCGAACTATGGCTGAATCGGAGATGGAGGTCGACAGTGACATGGATGTCGACGAAGTTGAACCTGATGAAGCACAACAAGACGTCGACGAGAACGAGAACCAAGATGAGATTGCGGAGCTACGCCCAGTGCTTGTCCAAGAGAACACGCATATCATCGTCCCGGTTCTTACACAAGCAAGAAAGTCTATTCAAGTTCCCTACTATCCCAATTCTCCAACTGCATACTGCATCTATGCGAGATTAATCTTGTTCGCTTACATGGCGTATGTCGTGGTGCACTGTATGTACAAGTCGTGGGTCAAAACCATGAGACGGACCACGCTACAGTATGACCAAATACTTTCCAATTGTGCAAATGGAGATCGATATGTTGTTCAAGGAAAATGGCCGACTCTTTGTGACATCGACCCTGACACGAAGGTTTCCCGAGACGTCACCGACGAGGGACTCTTGTCTTACATCCGAGGTCTTGGTGATCCCGAGGCTCCTGATGGACTTATCCCTTTCGGAAATTCCGAACCAATCAATTGCTCTCCGAGCTCATGCGAGGTGCTCGCCAGAAGGGCATACAACGAGCCATGTTCAACCCATCGGCCTATATTGACGGCAAAGAAAAAATCAGACGCCTCGAGAAATGCATGCGACTTGCTATGCTATAATGCAAACTCTTGTCGCGAAGGTCACGGGCAAGACCATGTTCGCAATGCTCAGGCCACCACCTACAGAATCACATGACTACCTGTTCATTGATCCGGTGGCAATCATGATGATTACTGGTCTTACGACTACGACAACTACCACCATCGAGCTGCATATCAGCTACGACATCGTGATTCCTGCGAAGTACACAGCAAAGTTGACACGACAGCGCTTGGAGACTCAACGTAGTCAGCACCCCGGAGCGCTCCTACACATTCAGCCTGGAGACTATCTGAACCACGGGCAAATTGGGATCGGCCAACAGAACCCAGAGGACCGCCTCCGAATCGTGCAAATACCAGCAAGCGTGACAAAGGCAAAGCAAGAGGGAAAGCTTCTGACCATCACGAACGTGACCGCGAACGTGATCGAGGCTAGTGTCGCAGATGGGAAGGTGACCATCACAGATGATCCTCAGCCTCGATGCCTACCACATGCTTCACTCAGTGACACTGAGTGCTCATTGCCTGCACTGCCATGTTCTTCAGTGATATGCTTTTCCCGGCACATGCATTGCAGCGGATTGCTGCTGACGCCATTATGTGTCACACCCTTTCTCATTGGGAAACAGTCATAGTCTTTGCTTTGTGCTAGTTAGATTAATAGTAATAATAGTAATGTACTCGTAATAGTAGTTGTAATTGTAATCGTTACGGTATTCGTAAACCCATTATTAGCAGTAGTCACCATTGTAGTAGCCGCGTTCACAATATGATTCAATTGCAAAACACACGCTTCCTGCATCACATACACGAAGTACAAACTACATACATTACACACAGTAGTCATATCATTACATCCGTTGCCTGCATTATATGCAGTACATGCAGCACAACGATTAATTCACTAGCGTGCATGCATGCATGCATGCATGCCTGCATACAACAGAGATCCCGGCCGTTCTCCTGAAAAGCTTCGTAATGCTGAATTTCGTGCGAGGGATAGAAACGGAAACCTTCATTTGAGGTTCCTCGGACCTTGGAGAGCTCCAGAACAGTGATCAAGTGCAAATTCCTCGACAAAGAGATTCCTCTGCACCTAGAATCTAGAACGAGGCCCGACTGAATAAGGGTTCATGATTTTCAGGCTTCATACGGATGAAACACGCTGAACAATAAGGCCCTAAGCTCCCTTCAGAATCCCCATAGGTCGTACAAGCCCTTAAACCCTAAAGAACCCGGAGCCGTGAGCCCACAACAGCAAAAACTCGACCAGGTGTGCAGACAGGTGACGTCCCTGGCCGTGTCAATGCGGTCGCCTGCCTCAAGTTTCGAGTTTGGGGTTGACGGTGGAGGGGGTTTAGGGTTTAGGGGTTTGAAGGGTTGTTCAAATCAAGGGTTGCTAACTGGATGCGTGATTTTGGCAACAGTTGCTCTTGATTGTGGCACGTTCTGAGCTGTCACATCAGTCGTTGGCATTGTTTGTGCTTTCGCTCTTTTGTGTCCTCCGTACTTGCTACTTGTGCTGTTGGTTGCTGCTCAATTTCTAGCCGCCGTATACCTGTTGGCCAAAACTGCGATTATGGCATCATTGCCATTGCTGCGGCACGCGACCTCCTAAACCTCAGACGCGGCCTGAAACCCCCCAAAACCTATCATAATAAGAAGCCGTAGCAAGGTAGGTTTGGGGGGATGTTACGCAGGCACCTTGAACCTTCGAGCCCTCAACTTCAGACAAGCACAAGCCCTACAAGCAAAACCATCACTCGATCTCGATCTAAACCGCGCTTTGGGTTTGCGCTTCAGAGTGCATAGGGCATCATAGGGCTCATTGGCCTTAAGGATTTGGTGTAGGACTTACGTGACCGTTCAGGGTAGGCAAAGACAAACCTTGAAAGGCTTGAGGCTTTAGGCTTTAGACTCTACATCAACCGTCGCAAGTTAGGCACAAAGTTATAGCCAGCTTTCATGTAATTCGGTGGAGCTACCTACCTCAACCAGAAATTGGATCCCCAAATTCTAAGCCCGAAATCCTAAGCCCTATACGCCCAAAACCCGAAACCCCAAGCCCGAACCCCCCAAAACCCCTAAGCCCCAAACCCTAAGTCCCAAACCCTAAATTATGTCCTTGAACTACCCATGAACCTGGAAGCTTCAGTCGTACAGGGATCGAAGTAAATGATCATCACATCCCCTTGCATATATGTGTGTATATATATACACATACACACATGTGTATTTAATATATATATATATATATAGACCCACATGTACATATATATATATATATAATACACACTTATGTATATATGCATATATATATATAATTATTACTATAATAATAATTCTTATTATTAGTAGTATTTTTATTATGGTTAGTGTACTATTATACCGCCATGAAACCTCAAGACCTTGTTCCAAGTATCAGGATGCCAGAAGAACAACCCCTCAAAAGGAACCCTGTCAAGAAATCATCGCTCCTGGGTTTAGGGGACCCCTCAACCCTAAACCTTTTAAACTCCCACTATTGCATCCATCAAATCCGGCCAGGCTTCCTTTTCTGAGTTACGAGTGCGCCCACGCAGACTTCTCTGACACATCGCTGTACCCGGCATTGACGCGGTTAGGAACTCCGACGAACCGCATGGTCGAGGTCGTGCCTTGCCAGTGGTTGATGGGGGGATTTATAAATAATTACTAATGACTAATGACGTTTGGTAGAGTGCAGTATACCCAAATGCACTGTTCGAATTTTCGGCCCCCTTTCTTCAGCAGGGTTAAAGGTGTCAGTTTAAGGGGGAGAGAGGATTTATGTAGTGCTTGCTGGTGTCAACCACGCTTTAATGGAGTTCTTGGCCAAACCTTGACCCCGAAAGTCCTAAACTCTACAGTATGCTTCTGCGTGAGGGTTGAAGGTTCACGCCTGCGCCAGCACACCACCTATTTAGGACTTAATGCGGAGGTAGTTGGGGGCAGATACTCTGGCAGAATTGCTGAGTTCTGAAGTTTGGAGTAGGGTTCAGGGTTTAGGGTCTATCAGAGCTTTGGCAAGGATTTCAGAAGGGTTTTGCAGAACCTTACACGGTTCGAAAAATAGGTTTCGCGGTCTCTACCTCGTTTAGATAATGCAGTGCAAGGGTGTTTGGGCTCGCTGGGTTCTGTGATTGCGGTGTATGACCTAAGTTTGGCTCCTTGCTGTGGGTGCTTAATATAGAAGCCTGCATAATTCCCTATACTATTTTGGGGGCTCATGTTGATTATAGTTTTATTATCATAGACACCCAAAACTAACCCTAAACACTAAACCCTAAATCCAAGTACTAAGGCCCCTAAAACCCTAAACCCCAAACCCTAAACCCTACATGAACCAACATCGCCCTGTGCCATGAGGTCGGCTCTCTGCGTGAGAACCACGGCTGGAGCAAAATCTACGTCGTCACCGGCGATTCCGCTGCTGTGCCAATATAACAAAATAGGGTTTAGGGTTTAAGGTTCAGGGTTTAGGGTTAGGGTTTAGGGTTATAGAGTCTGAAGCCTATATAAACCGTCAAACTCTGAACCCCCATAACTCTTAGATCCCACACACTAACCCGGAGCCTGCACAGAAAGCTTCAGCTTTTGAGCCCGGTGAATGAAGTGTCAGGTGTGTGGCGGCTTGTGTTACTTCATTCAGGTCTAGGATTCGTGTGCGTTATGTGTATACTGAAGGGGTATCAATGGCTTCGGGGGGTGGGTGATTGGATTTCGGGTCCTTGGCGGTCGGTTCATGAGGGTTTGGGGTTCAGGGTTAGGCACGTCTCCACGAGGGTTGATGTTCTGGTTCGTCTTGCGCCGGTTACCGTGAAGGAAGCGAAGGAAGCTAACTTAATTAAATATCAAAGTAGTGCCATAACGGCTCTGACAGACATTTGCAAACCACATCAAGCCCGTGGAAATACGTTACGCGCGAGATCGATCGAACCCCGCTGCCCAAAGCCCTGACCCAAAACTCAGACAACGCGATAAGTCCCATCCTGCCCATGAAAATAATCCACTCTCCCACTCCGCCCTTGCCTAAGCCTACCATAACCTACCTTGCTGTAGGTTCTGATTGCAAACCCTAACATGGATTTTTTAAGGGACCCTACCCCTTAACCCCTAAACCCTCCGCGGTTTCGGTAGCTTAAGGTAAGAACCAGGAAGTGTTGGGGCTTGTCAAAGTTTTGCCCCCTAAACCCTAAACCTTAAACCCTAAAACCCTAAACCCCTAAAGCCCTAAACCCTAAAGCCCCTAAACCCTAAAGCCCCAACCCCTAAACCCTAAACCCCATCTCGGATAGAAGACCGGTTGAAATGCCATGGTTGGGTGTTGGGGTTGGGGCGGCTTGGGAGTTCAGGATTGGAAAATTTCGGGCTTATGGCTTGGGGGTTAGGGTTAGGGTTGAGGGTTTAGGATTTAAGGTTTAGGGTTTATGGCTTTGGGGTTAGGGGCTTTAGGGGTGTAGGATTAGTTAGGACTTGGAGAGTTGATGGCTGTGGGATTTAGGGTTCAGAGTTGTTGAGTGGCTTGACAGTCCAGGAAGGGTTTAGGGTTTAGGGCTTTAGGGCTTTCGGGTTTAGGGTTTAGGGTTTAGGATGGGTAGTCATAAGTCAAAAGTGTCATAACTGCGGTCCTAAATGAGGTATCTAGGCTCCTTGCGAGTTTAGCCCTCCCCCCCCAACTCGCTGTAACCCTAAACCTGAACACCCGACCTATCGTCTTAAAGATCCGATGCCCCTGAACCCTGCAGCCTAAACCCCGAAAACCTACGCCCTAAACCCTTAAACCCCAAAGCCCCTAATCCCTAAACCCTAAATCCCTAAACCCCTAAACCTTAAACCCCTAAACCCGAAGCCCTGTTGTGCTTCTGGGCTTTTCGGGATTTTTTGGGCGCGGCCGTGAAGCCCTGAACCCCGGCTCCGAACGAAGCCTTGGCCCTAAACCCTAAAACCCTAAAGGTTCTAGGCTTTAGGGCTTTAGGGTTTTAGGGTTTTAGGGTTTAGGATTTTAGGGTTTCTGGGTTTTAGGGTTTAGGGCTTTAGGGTTTTAGGGCTTAGAGCTTTGAGGGTAAACGGTTTAGGGTTTAGGGCTTAGGGTCATAAAACCTAAACTCTGTATTCTGAGGCGACGTACCAGACGGAGGCTGAAGCGTACGTGTCATCCTTTCAAGCTTCTGGTATCCAGTCCGAGCAGCCAACTCCGCATTCATTCTTTCGAAGACGATGAGCTAAGTATAAGCTTTTAGCGTTCCGGGTTTCGGTTTTGACATTTAGGGCTTAGAGGCTTTAGGGTGTAGGTTTGTAAACTTAGGCTTAGGGTTAATAATTTTTAGGGTTTGGCTTTCAGCATTTGGGGGTTACAGGTTGCGGGTGCGGGGGTTTATAGGGTTTAGGGTTTGTTGGCTGTAGAGTTTGTAGGTTTCAGGGTTTACTGGGTTTACTGTTTGGGGTTCTACTGTG